TTATTTAATTAAATTATAGAGTGTGGTTTATTGAGCGAAACTTTTCATAATTATAATTATAATAACGATTTTTTTTTTTACAATCTATTTTTAACATTCGGATCGAAATTCTATTTTTATTACTGCGAATTGTCGATCTGTTTACGCGTGATCAAAACTTTCAAACTCAATTATCTCAAAATCAGGTTTACGGTAGTTTCCGACTTTTCTACTGCAAAGGCCCCATATGTTCAAATAGTCCAGATTGAATTTTCTAAAGAGCTGACAATAAATTTTTATATTTTTTAGATGCCTTAAATTCTTGTCTAGTCCTCCGTTTACTAATAGCATCCAAATTAGTCAAATTTCTCCGTTAAACTTCAGTATATCATCATATTGAAAATCTTAGATAAGGTATTCAAGATCCTGCATATACGTAAATGAAGATATACCAAGTGACTATTGACGATGTATAAAGATAGCAAGTTGATCCATCTATAGATCATCATTTTTTCATTTAGTTTTATCATAAGATAAACTGATGAAATTAATTTTGTCTAAACCCTGCAGGAAAATCATGATCTGCTATACTTATAGGTTTATTAATCGATTGTAATCTATAAAATATCCATCCTACTGCAAGTATACCTAAACCAATCTTTGCTTTATCATTTTGAGAAATAGCAATACTCGCATCAGCAAATAGTGAAGCAAATTGCTTTGTACATTTTATTGATATAAGGCAATAGTGTCTATTGGGATGATCTCGTATTTTCATTTGTAAAATACCAGATATTACAACCTACGCTAGGTGATAATGCACCCTTGCAGCAATCGAGTTGGCTTGTCAAGGTAGCAGGTAATTATTTAGTATTGTTTTTGCCATGTAGACATTGTAGTTTTTCTCAAGATTTTTATGCAAATTTTCAATTATCTGAATTTTAACTACTTCTTTCCTTCTTTTCTCATTAGCTGTCCTAAACTCAATCGAATCATGAATATGATCATATAAATTTGGGTGTTTAAAAAGAAGTGAAAGACAACTGGGTTTATCATACTGTATCACTTCCTGATTTTCAATAAGTATTTTTTTTTTTTTTGCATTTTTGAGCATAACTTACGTTTTTTTATAATTTAATAATTCTCTCTTTATTAGATTTGATTTCAGTTTGAAGATCTTTTATCCTTATATATGTATCATGCTGAAGTTGATAATCAGTTGTAAAATTATAGATTTGTTCAAATTTGATGAGTTTCTTTTCAACTATTATTATTTCATTTGTCATCTTTTTTTTGAGCTGATGTATTTACTAAAATCTCTAGTTCAGAATTTGCTGAACGATTAACAGGAGGAGTTGAAGCTGTAATTGGATTTTTTCTAGGTACAAGACGTTTTGACCTCAAAGTTTGTATATCATATAGATTAAATGGAATAGTAAAATAATTTTTAATGATATCATTAATTTCAGTTTCGTTCTTAGATTTAATCTTGTTCCATTCTTGTGCAACTTCATGACAAGTATCAGTATGGTTAGGAGTAACATTTTCTGTCTTAACCATAATGCTGTATATATCAGCGTTTGTGAAATTTTGATATTTATTTGTGAAAGACTTGTATATTAGTTTCTTATCAAACCTAGGGTTAAGAAAAAAAGTCTGGCAATTCATTTTACTTAAATATGATATTGATTTGTTTTTGTTTATGAAAAAGTTCTTTGCAGTGAAAGTATGAAAAAAATCGAATATGTTCAAGACTAGTTTTTTTAAGCGCAAAAACCTCTTCCTTATGTAGCAACACGCATGATCGTTATAATGCATAAACATTATTAGTACACAACATAATAGAACACCAATTTTTTAGAATACAATTTAGAATACTTATTTTAGAACATAATTTTAAAATTTTAAGTTTTTTATACTTATTTGATTTTTAGTAGTATTATGATATTAAAAAATAATAAATATGATTTTGTTTTCTAAAAAATTCTAAATTCTCAAAATATTTATGAAAATAAAAAATATAAAGGGTGTAATATAAAGTAATAAATATTTCTATGATTATATGAGAGTAAAAACTTGGTGGTAATACTAGAGGTATTTAAAATTGGTTGATACAGATTTTGATGCAAATTTAAAAAATATGATTAACTGAAATTTATATTAAATTTTGTATCAAATGCATTAGCAAAATAGCGAGCATCTTTAATCTAGAATAAAAGTATAAACTTTTATTCTAAACTGTGATTTACTATAAGATTTGATGAGTTTTATAGCCTAATTTGTTTGCATTATATATATCTTAGAATTGTTGTAACATTTTTTAAACAAAAATAGAATAAAGAAATACTTAACTTAAAATAAATTTTGCAGTATTTGATGTAATATTTAATGCAATATTTTAAAGAAAAAGTGTGAAAAAATATTTCTAAACCTTTTTTTTCATTTTAGAAGATTATTATTAAATAAACATATGATTTATTATTTTTGTTAAAAATAATTATTTATTGAACAAAAAATATACATAATTTACATTTTACTATATATTTTATCAATCAACTATGTATGTTTTTATAACAATAAAGCAATTGCTATAACAATAGACTATCTTAACAATACAGTATATTAAAATTTATTCTTTATTACATTTTTATTATGTTTTTAATAAAAAATATTTGGTATATTTTATATTTAAAAAATTGGTTTAACTACAGAATAATGATAAAAATAAATAAAAAAAAATGGTAAAAAAAAGAAATAACTTATCGTTATTTTTCTAAAACGAAATTTTATAGTAATTGATTAGTAATTACAAAATGCATTAAAATTTTGCATCAATCAAATTTTGAATATCCCTACATTTACCCTAGCGTTCCCCCCAAAAAAGCACTGGTCACGTGATGATATTTTCATTTTTTACAAGTGTTTCGGGGACTTAGTTTTTTTTCAATAGACGCAAACCTATTTGTCACACATTATCTGTCACACTAATTCACGTGTCACTGCATAATGCCGGCCGACCAGTGCTTTTTTTTGGGGGAACGCTAGGGTAGTTATATCCCTACTTAAAAAGATATAATTTGATTGGTCAGATACATGTAACCATTTCGAAAGTTTATGTAACCTTAACGGTCTTCCCTGGAAAAATGTCTGATAACGATAATTGATAATCCATTTTTGAGTTTTACTAAAAAAAAAAAGTCTTTTTCCCAACACTCACATAGTAATCATACGATCCATAATGTGATTTTACTAACAACCCTCCCATATAATAAAAAGGATCAATGTAGAGTTCGCGATTTAATTATAATTGATTCGATAAAAGAATTATTCATCATGATGAAATCATTAGAATATATCATATATAATAAAGATCTATATTTGGCAACATTTTTTTGTTTGTGTCGTGTATAAAGGTAATTATAGATTACGATGATTTATAAATATAAATAATATGTACATACAATATTAACGATATTTAATTATAGTAATCGTTGTTCCTGGTAATCAAACTTGTTGGGTATGAATTAGAGATGACGATATCTCGGAAAACATAAATAAGTACAAAACCTTCTTGTCAATCAGGTATAAATGCAAAATAGGAACTTGTTTCTTGGATATAGTAAAAAGAAGAATTTGTCGTCCTGCGATTTAGTTGAACCACTAGTTAATCTAAGAATTATAATTTTACCTTTTAATAATTTAGATCCCTTAAATAGTAAGAAATTCCATCATATAAATGTTCTATGGATCTGAATATAGAGGAAATCTGTAAATACTGTAAATAAAAGGTGGTTTATCATGATCATAGATTCTATATATTAGTTTTGCCAATTCATTTGACTATTTAGATTTAGTTACATTGGGTGACGCAGATCCTTCATTTTTTTCTTTTTTTATAATAAAAATGCATTAGTTCAAAATTTTATTAAAGGGCGTAAAAAGGTAATCGAATAAAATAAGCATAGCTTTTTTTTTTTTATTATTTTATTTATTTCATTGTATCTTTTCTAAATGATCTAATTTCAGATTCCTGCCTTTCGTATGCACGATGCAAGAATTCCTGTTTTTCTATATACCTATAGGAAAAAGAAATTAATAATCATATGATCGTTTTACATTGGTTCTTGGAATTAATCACTTACCCGTTCTTATTATGATATTTTAATTCATCAACAATTTGTTCTTGTTCAACGTATTTTTTCCAATCCATTTTTGATTTCTCCAAAGTATTTAATTTTGTTGGTTTCTTTTTAAGTGAAGCGAGTTGTTCAAGACTTATTTTAGATTTGATAAATTTATCAACGTTACCACCACCACTACCGCTCTTCGGAATAGTTGATGGTGATTTGACAGATGTTCGTGACGTTGAGAAAATAGAACTCGATTCGTTGCTGGTTTCTGATGTCTCTTGTTCTTCTATAAAAGCTTGTCCCTCTTCTGAATCTTCGGGAACTTGTTTATGTTCTCTGTTATAAGATAAAAAAAATTATAAATGTCACGAAAAAAAATTTTTTTTTTTTTCTTTTTTATGTGTAAACTTACGTTATAATATCACCAGCAAATTTATAAGTTTTTGTTATGGTAATCATCTTTGTTGATTTCGGAACTTTAGTTAAATTGGTTAAAGGAAACTAGTGAGAATACATGAATATATATTAATGAATAATTCTAACAATAATTAAATAATGAAAATGAAAATGAGACCTTTGATTTCTTGTTTTCCACAGGGTTGTCATTTAAAAGAGCTTTATTATCTACCAAATTATTGTAGGGCTTTGCTGGTATAGGAAGATAGTCATCATCATCTGCGTTCAATTCAGCCCATAAAGCATCGATCTTACTTTTACGTTCTTCATCAATTGTATTTGATTCTTTTGCGATTTTTTCTTCAAACCTAAATTAAGTTTTATTAACTTCAATTTGTTAAAAAATTTTTTTTTTTTTTTTTTTTGCTCACTTTTGTTTTTTAATATTATTATATATTTCGGTTTCCGCTTCTATTTTTTTGCGTTTACTACGAGTCATCAAATTTGTTTCATAATCAAGGTCCTTTTTGCCTTGTGCTGCTACATTTACCAGTTCGGTTTCATCCTCGCTATCTATTTTTTTTTTTTTTGAAAAGTTAAAAATGATTAGGTACAAGAAAGCAGAAAAAATTTTTTTTAAAAAGTTACCATTTAGAACATAATCAGGATCGTTTGATGAATCCGAACTATAATCTTCTTGAAGTTCATTTGCGCTCATGATGAATAATAATACTACAATTTTAAAAAATTAGATGGAATAAAAAAATTTTTTTTTTTTATAAATTATTAATTTATAAATAAAAAAAGGATTAAAGGGAAGGAAATCTGATTTCATTTAAACCATTTTTTTTTTTTTTGATTTTATTCCGAATTCTGCTAAAATCTGGTTACGCCAAATTAATTATTGTCTTAATGCAGGTCAGATCCCGTGAGGAATTCTACGTAAAGTCGAAATTGATTACGAGGGTCGAAATCAATTACACATTACGAGGATCGAAATTAATTCTGAGAGTCGAAATACATAAAACCGGCCAGAATTACAATCACGTGACGTTATACAAATCCAAAAAGGAAAATTTTGTCCTTATATGAGTGTTGCACTAAGATATTGCAAACCTCCTAACATGGAGATCATTTAAAGTGAAGCAAAAATCACGTGATCAAGATAATAATTATGATTGGTCTGTGATTGATTTGTTAATGAACATTTATTTTTAATTAAGCAATAGATTTAAACATACATAATTTATAGTGATAAATTTAAGATGTATATATTACATAATAATCCTTTATTATTGTAAAAAGAATAGTAAACTTGTGAATTGTTTTTACATAATCTATTTATCTTATAAATAAATTTTGTGAAATATATATTAATTAAAATTTTTGAATTATTTTTTTATTTATTTACTTTTAATTCAATTTTAAAATCTTTTAAGCATCAAATCGTGAAATAATTAAATTTAAAGAGAATTCCAATATAGAGATAAATGACTCAATCCTTATAATATCACCTATTTCTTTAATCTTCTAATATCTATCATAGACTCTTTCAGTTAATTTTATAATAGTAAGTCTTTGATTTTTGGTTTCTTTTTATTTTTCTGTCAGTATAAATTCTATTACTATTTCACAATTTTCATATATCTCAAAGCCACTCTCTTCAAATATTTCCTAAAACATTTCCATATGTTAGTAGTCAATAATTTTACGTTTTTATATATGTATTCATGAAAAATATGCCTATATGATAATAGGTATTTATTGCAGAACAAATAGTAGCAATTAAATAAAGTCAAATTTAGTGTGTTTTTACCTTTCTCAAGTCTATTATGAATAGCGCAAACCTTTTTAATAATTAGAAATTGAAATGAGAATAAAAATTTATGAATTTCATTGATAATATTATTTTCTACACCATGAGCTAATATTTTCTTAATATTATATTTAAAGGCGGCACTTTCAGATTCAGATTATTTTTTACAGTCAATATCAATGATCTTATAAATAGCATTTAATAAGTGAATAAATAAGCAAGTAAGCAAATAAAAAAAAAAATAAAAGAAATTTAATGAAATATAAAAGCAAAAAATGAAAGGTATAAGTAAAATTTTGAATAAAGAGAAAAAAAATAAGAGGTAAACTTACTGATTAAACTATATAATAGAAATATAATTTTTAATTCACTATAATAAGATTTTAATAGGTTTGTAAAAATGACTTGCAAAAGTAAAAGGAAATATTATTATGCTCATAATACTTATTTCTATGTATTTTTTATGTAATTCATCTTGATATAATTTTGAATAGTAGAAACAACACATTTATTAATGACATTTTGCATAAGTTGTTTATATCTGATTTTTATTTTTTTGTGCATCATTGTGATCATAATATTATAAGTTTTTATCATAAATTCATATCATTTACGTTCTCATAGTGTAAACAATATAAAGAATTACTTCATACTTCTGTTTACCAGTACTTATACTAGAAAAAGTTGTCTTGATACTTTTAGCCAATATTATTATGAAATATTGATGAGACACTGATAGGATGTTGATGAAATATAGATAGGATAGATAAGATATTTGGGATATAGTGTGGAACAGAAACTGGAACAATAAATCTCTAGAACATCAAAAATAGATATTACTGCCTTTAACCTTAATACTGCTTTGATCAGAAAGAATATAGTAAAAGATTCAATAATAGTAGCTATCATAAATTATTTTTAATATTTTTAAAATAGTATCATAATCTTCATTACTCACAAAAAAGTAAGCATCTATATTCTAACATTCAAATGTATCACAATTATATAAAATAAATAGATGCTAATTATATCTGTTTATTTTATAAGTTAAATCAATAAGTATTAACTATCTATAATATTAAAATTTCTTGAGTTGTTCAAAATGAGCGAATATAATGTTCTTAGTAAACTTATAAGAAATATTTTATAACTTTTAACTTGATATCCCTTTTCTATTAAATAAGATACAGATTGTGAAATATTTGATGCTAAATCAGAATCACCAATAAAATAAGCTTTCATAGATCTATGAATCTTAAATTTAATATTAGTTACTTTCTTTCATTTTAGTTCTTTTATGCTTGAACTAAGTCTTAAATTAGTCATTGCATATTCTTTAATAATAGCAGTAATTACCAAAGATGAATAATTTTTAATAGTTTCTTTTTTAACTAAAATTCAAATGGCTTGAAAATGTTTAATTTTGTTAGTTTCTAGTTATAAATGAGTATAGTTAGAAGAGTCCTTATATTACTTAATTTTGACTATTTTCAATAAGATTAACTATGAAACTTTAATTTTAACATTGTATAATTCAGAAAGTCATACCTTTATTATTTACCATTTTTCATTTGAAATATTTTTTTTTATCATGTACTTGATTTCTAATGCTTTATAAAATGGTAGGTAAAAACTTTCTTAGTATTACTATCTGTATATTTGCATGAATTCCATTATATTCAAATGTTCAAAACTATTAGCTACTAATTTTTATTAAATCATCTATCAGAATTTCTAAAGTATGTTTTATATTAAAGAGAAAATCTTGTTTTTTATCTGAAGTGAAGTTTGTTATTAATGTAATAAGAATAACATCTGAAATAGCAGTAGACATATTTAAAGCAAATTTTTTAGTTTTTTTTAAGCAAATTAATAAGATAAAAGGGAGTTTATAGAAAAGATATACTTTATTAAGATTTCAAGTAAAATGAGAATTTGAAGAGAAAAAGGTGTAAATAAAAAAAGGTGTAAAATAAGACAGAAAGAGTGTATATTAAGAGAAGAAATGCTAATAAACCTAATAAATAATAAAATATTAGAAGGTTTATTTTACTTTTATTTGCATTATTTTTTTGCTTGATTTTAGCAAAAGTTAAAAAAAGAAAAAAAGAATTTGAATATTTTTCTAACAACTTTGTTTGGTTTTTCTTCTTACATTTTTAAGTTGTATTAAACTTCAGCCATTAGAAGAAAGAAATCTAAAGGTTATTAAAATTATTTCTTATCATGGAGACATAGAAACTTTAATACCCAAATCTGTACGATATAACATGGTTTTGTATTAGATGTGACTGTACAGATAAGACTTTCTCATACATATAAAAATGTTTGAGATCATGAATTAAAATGAAATGATTATCAAAAATTCTTAACTATACCTCTTAAAGCTAACTAAGGATAGTAGCTCCATTGCTAACTTATACAATTTACCAATATGATACATATCCATCTAAAGCTTTCTGTATTTGCTCACCCTTATCGAAGGTATTATTTCACAATTCTTATATAACTTTGTGAAGAATGCTATAGGTTCAAATAAACTTATTCTCGCAACCTTATCAGCATTTATGCATTTCATTTTTGAATATACACAACAAATCTGAGTAGATAAATGCGTTCAACAGATTACTTTTGAAAAGTCTCACAACATAAATCTTAAATCTAAAATTGATAACACTTTAGCAACAGAATATGACATTTCACATTCTACTTCTAGTTCTATAATTAACAATTCTATTGATCTAATAGTTCATTTTAGATTCCACTAGATGAATTTTGATGCCATAGTGACCAAGCCCTTTTTTTTATAATTCATTACTGAAAAATGATATTTTTAGCTTAGATTAAAATTAGATTCTGGAAAAGTGTAAGGTTAGTTTTAATTTAGTTTCAATTAAATAAAGATTTTTGTATTTTCTTAATTTTATATATTTTACTTTTGTTTATATACCTCAAATTAATAAAGATTATGCAAAATTATCGCATTTTAAAAAAAAGAATAATTATGTTTTATTCAATAATAAATCTTTTAAAATGAAAAAAAAAGTTGTGAGAAATATTTTCTTCACTTTTCCTTTAAAATACTACACTAAATACTGCAAAATTTGTATTAAGTTAAATATTTCTTTGTTATATTTTCTTTGAAAATATTATGAAAATTCTAAGATATATATAATACAAATAAATTGAACCAATAAAACTTATTAAATTTTATAGTATATCCTAATTTAGAATAAAAGTTTACATTCACCTTAGGTTAAAGAAGAAACAGGTTATGTTTACAATACTTCAATTCTATACAGACAGATCACTAACCAACCTATTATCAAATAATTGCAAAATGAGAATAGGATAGATCAATCCAGAATCTTCAGCTTACAATTATAACACTTTCAATGCAACTATCACAAACTCACCATCATCAACAAGAGCTGAACTATTTATACTGCTTACCTCTATTATTGTTTGTCCTCTTAAATCTTATATTTCAGTCTTTCTAAATAGTTAAGCAATCATAGATAGATTTAACAACTTCATTATAATAGACAGCTTCACTATTAGAAGAAGAAAAAAAATCCTTAACTATATAATTTAAACCTTACTATTACATATATGCAAAAAATTATAACTATTAGTTAATCTATTCAAAATCAAAGAACACTCAGGTGATTACTATAATGATATAACAAACAAATTAGCAAAAGAGGGATCCCTATAATCTACTCTTAACATTAACAATACTGCCTTTAAGGAACTTTAGTTACATTTATCAATTGAGGATGTTCTAATTGAATTTTTCTCAAGAAAATTTTGAAAAAATATGAATGCTTCACTTTAATTCTCAGCATTTCTTGATCTCAATAGATATCTTAACTATAAGATTGCTTCAAATTTACAAACTT